TAGCACGCCTGTATTTTCTCCTTGGAATTTAGTGATAAAAAACACAGTGAATATGCCTTTTCACTTTTTGAAGTACACATAACACTCGGATTTAAATCCGAGGTTTTCGCATTTATTTGTTTTTTTTTTTTTGCTTTATAAATCATTGAACTGTGGAAATATTGAGAAAGTATTTCTGTATATCATTTTAAGTAGATTATTCATATCATTTAAATAAACGTCTCACAACACACAAATTTATTAAAACTGATCATTGATTTATTGGGGTTTGACATCAATCAAGATTATTCCTCCGTTTAATCTTTTCAAAAAAGGATCTTGAATTTTGTCAACCAAAACTAAAAATATTGAAGTTTTCAAATTTCATAATAATAATAGAAGTTGAAAATTTAAAATGATTTTAGTAGAGAGAAGAACGTTTTTATTCATAAAATTTCAATATGTTAAGAAATAAAAAAATTAATTAAAAAATGTTCATCTATTTGATTTTGATTGATAATAATTTAGTATTGATAAGTGAATCAACATTTAATGTCTTACTTTAATGATCATTAAGCAAAAAGAAAATAAAGTTTGTTTTGTTTTTTGTTTCTTAAAAATAATTTCGAGACAAAACAATTGATTTCATTAGTCGAATAAATGTTTATATTTCATGGTCATCGGAACTAATGCGTTCCATTTCATATAAGAAGAAAAGGAAAGAACAAGATAAAAAATGTGATTGATCAAGACGAACATATCAAGGTCGACGACCGTCCTGTTTGTTCAAATGTATGGACATATTGTGGTCTGTTCGTTTTGACATTCTTCTTCTTCTTCTTCTTCTCTTTTTCTTGTTTTTTTCTAGTGATGGAAGTTTGAATCGTCAACCAACAAAAACAAGTTTATTCTATTTTAAATATGTTTCAAGAAAATTCTCAACAAAGTAAATTTATTTTCTTGTTTTTTTTTTTTAAATAAATTATTTAATTTATTAAAATAATAAATAGTTTATAAAAATGTTGATTATGATTGTTTACGAAAATATGATGAAAATAATAAACATTTTTCGATGTCAATTATATTAGAAAATCAAGAAGGAGAAGAACAACAACGATCTATTGGTTATGATTGTATTTATCGTTATGGAACACATAGAGTTAAACTTGAATATTATATTGAAAATAAAATTTGGAAAAAAATTCCTTTTCAATCTAATCAAGAACAAGAAAATATTTTAAATTCTTTATTTGATGATAATTATCATATTAGATCTTTATTTCAATCTTTTACTCTTGATCAACAAATTCAAATTATTATTAAACGATACGATAAACATTTTTATGGTTTGTATATTTTTTTTTTTTTTAATCATTTTTTTTTAAATAATCACATATTACGACAATATAACACAATATAATAGAATAAATAAAATTAATTTGTTTTTATTTCATTTATTTCATAAATATGAACTATTAAAATTTTATTTACTAAATAATTTCTATTAGTTTATCTAATTTAAAAAACTCGATTAATTTAATAATCAATAAAAATATTCATTTTAATTTTTCTTTAGAAATCGATAAAATTAAAAATGAACAAGAATATAAAAATGAAATATTATTATCTTCATCAATTTTTAAAGAAGAAAATCCAGTAAAATATATAAATAATGATTTGATTGAATTATCTTTACATGAAACATCTAAATCATCAATTATTTGTCAAGATGATCAACAAAAAATAAAAAATAAAAATGATTTTGAAATAGAAAAAGATTTTGTTGACTATAGTCTTCATTCGTTAATAAATTGTTTTCGACCGAAATTTACTGGTTTAGCTCCACCACCAGTTGCACCACGTCGTAGTCGTCAAAATAGTGCTTTTTCACAATGTAGTCTTCGATATGCTTCGTAAGTTATTCGTTTTTTTTCTATTCAATGATTAATATTTATTTCAAAGATTTATTCCACCACCAACAGCACCTACTCGTCAACGACGTGTTATTGAATCGATTCATCTTGATGTTCAGCCAAAGTAAACATTTTTAAATAGAATTTTCTTTATAAATCTATTTTATTTTATTTTATTTTTTGAAAGAAAAAAATTCTTTGAAAAACTTGTTGATATCTTAAAAGGAATAGAACCACCGACAATGGATCAATTAGGTTTAGAATTTTTACGTATCTATGATGGTAAATTCAATTATCGTCAAGGACATAAAGTAAATTATTTACTTTTTTCTTTATCTTAAATAAAAATATATTATGTTATTATTCATCTAGTTTGTTATGCCTTTTCGAAAGAAAATTTGGCTTTTAATCATTAAACAGATAAAATGTAACATTGATTTAAGGAAAAATTTTTCTAAATAAAACTTTCTTTCTAGGTGTTGATTGTCCAGCGGATAATATTGGACCACGATCTTTATTGATACTCCATCATAAAGGTCAATATACAACTGTACATGTTTAATTATACAACTAGAAATTTTGGAAAATTCTTCAAATCAAGTTTAATGTTTTTTTTTTTTTTTTGTTTTTTTTTTGTCTTGATCTATTCAATTAAATATTCCTTTCTACATTAATAGAAAATAAATAAAATAATTTTTTTCTTTTCTTTTTCTTCTAAATTAATAATCAATTATTTCACTTATAATTGTTCTTTGAACAAATCGATCATTATCAAAAACAGTTATTGAAATATGAAAAATATTTTATTTTCAAATAGAGATTGTTATATAAAAATTAATTATAAATAACTTTTTTGAAAAGAGTACACATGAAATATAATTGATTTCTGTATGTCAAAATGATTAGAACATATTTTCAACTGTTTATTGAAATTTTTTTCTTTTTCTTAATCACAGTTAGCTCGATCAACAGAGGAAAATATAATTTTATTTGAAAATATTCATACAAACTGCACTCAACCGACTTATTTTATTGCTTTTCAGTTACTTAGTTGCCATGCCAAATTCTTCTTCTAAGTGACACATAACTCACGATTTAATTTAGCCATTTGTTTTCAACATCTGTGTATCATTTCGATTGAAAGAAAAAAAGCATTTATGAGATTATGAGAATGTGACGAGTACACATTTTAAATTTAGTTTTTCAAAATTCCATCACATTCGGGAAAAAATAATATGCAGAAAACGATAATTAACAGTTGATACCTTCCTTCTATGGCCATGCATTATTTAACTTCAACCGACCATTAATATATTAGAAGCTATATGTATAGATACATTGATTATCGTATTTTGTTATCTAAATTCATCCGCAGATTAGTATTGAGTATTCAGGAGAATATGATCATTTGAATTAAGTGGCAGAAAATGAAAATGTCGATTAGTGCACTTAATGGAGTGAGTCATCTTTCTAGTTGAGCTTTTCCCTATTAGCAGTCTAGTTTATTTTCTAGCCAACGGTTTTGTCTTTATTTCTGTCAAGCTAATTAAAATTAAGATAATTTTTGTTTTTCAATTGCGCATAATCTCATAATCGAAAGAAATTGAAAATAATGATATGATTGAGTAGTTCATTTTTATTCAGGAGTTCTTCGGCAACAATCGTTAAGCTGTGTGTATAGGTAGACTGCTTTAAATTTACGGAAGAAATTTGTTCATTCTTTAAAAACATATACAAGACAAAAGAAATTAGTCACATAAATTGAACTGTAGTTAAACAGTGAGAAGTACTAAGACAATCTATTGAATTGTTTACGTTGTCTGTTTTGTGGTCAGGTTAAACATAGTAAGTTTTTATTCTGTAGAGGAGTTCATTCATGTAAATTAACCAATGGAAAGAAAGAAGAAAATTTGAATAAAATTGAATTTTATCCATTTATTTATAAAAACAAAGAAAATAAACATAACAATTCACAAAAAAAATGATTCCATGTTTGACGAAAGATTATTTAAGACATGATTTAAGCATTGTAATGCATTGACATTGATATTATTTTTTTGATCTAAAAATGAAAGTATATTTACAACAAATAGAATAAACTTTACGCTCTATTTCAAGATCAAATCTCATAACTTTTACAGCTGAATTCAAAGCATTAAATTCTTGTTCTATTGAGTTAACTTTATCATTTAGGTGCTTATTAAATTCTTATCTTGATATTATTTTGATAATGTTTTTAATTCAGTTTTCAATAATTCATTTTCTTGGTCTTTGGTTTTTTTTTTGATAATTGTATTGAATAAGAGTTTGACATAGTGAAGCTACTGGAATACCGTTGCTTATATTTTAAAAAAAGAAAAAGATTCATGTAACTTGCGAAGTCATTTTTCTTTGAAACGGATAGAAAAATTGCAGAAATTACAAACACGATATAGAACATAGACTGGAATAATGTTCGCCTGAATATTGTTAATATATCTCAACTTATAACATCATCCCGAAGGAAAAAGTGAGTGGAATGTGAGTAAATGTCAATAAGAAAAAGCGTAAGTTCAGTAATTCGAAGTATCAGTAAAGTACAAGTGAAATACAGACGAAGTATCGAATGGTGCTGTACTTCAGTTGTAATTCAATTGTACTTCATTCGTACTCTGAAGTACTGAAGTCGCGCTTTTTTTTCCTTGGGTTAAAGATCATGTATTCATTCATATAGACATTTCGACGCCCATAACGCTAAATTACGAATAATAATCACTTAATGTGAGAAAACTTTTGAGAAATTCTAGAAAACATGTATCTTTCATTTGTTTGTCAAAATGTTTCATCGATTTTCCTAAACTGTTTTGAATACTCGTGTTTCTCCATGCTTGAATAAGCCAGATATCGCTACTTTTTGTTTTTCTAGAGTTGCTATGGTTCAGAGCGATTGTCCACTGAACATAATCGCTTCGAACTGTAAAAAGAAATAGAAAAAACAACAGAGATAAGAAAATTATTCATAAAATAGATTAACTAAAGTACCATTCAGAGATTATTATGTCGACATAAACAAGTTAATTCTCTTCATATTAAATAATAAGTTATTAAGATTAAAAATTCAACATTGAGAATAATAAATTAATTTAACTTCTTCTCAAATTTGATTAACTTTTGTGTTAGCACAGTCGTCGAATTGTTTAAATAATTACTTCATCCGATACTTATTCGTGTATTGATCAACATTAATGAATAACTATTCTGTTAATGAATTTCACGAATATTATCGGTTTCAATAGATAATAATATATATGTTAAGTACTCAGCTAAAGCTCGTTGTAACATGTTATAATTATGCTAGTCTTTTTATATTTTAAAGAAACAAATGAATTTCACTTTACCAATAGTCCTGTAAACGCTGATTTTTGATAAATATCTGTTTGAAATTCGTTGTTTTGCATTGATCGAATAACACAAACATCGAGAAATGAGAGAGATCAAATATTTTCAACTTCAGAAGTAAAGATTATGGAAGGAAAAAAAATTATTTTAAAAGTTGAGTATATTTTTTTTTTCTTAGTGTTAAGTTGTTTAAGTATAAGTGTACCATCGACATATTGAAACCATTTACAAATATCACTTTGTACTTGATAGTTCATTAAAGTCTCATCGAAATTGGACATAAAAATATCGGTCGTTACACGAGCGAAAGGTGTATTCATTGTCACACCATTATGTTGGACACACATATATAATGTTGTCAAAGATAACATACATATAAGATTTAGTTATTATTAAGAGTTTCAAAATCTTTTCTTTTATTAGATAATACGCAAAGACGATCTTTTTGTTTATTTCAACATACTGAAGAACACATTGGAGATAATTTGTTAAATATTAGATCGATTATATACGTAAATGGAATATTAATAAAAAGACTATTTACGTCAAGAAAAACTATTCTTTTATCCATATGTTTCGATGCTCTAATTTTCTTCACAAAACCGAATGGTACATAGATTATAGTTTTTGCGAGAGACATTATGAGTTATAGAGGACAATTTGGTTTGGGCAATTTAGAAAGACCATAAATACGATTAAAACTTGATCGAATAGGTCGTGTCAACTTGTATTCATTGTCGTTTATGAAACTTTTATCTTTTAAAATTAAGCAAAATCTTTATTAATCTATTTTTATTTTCTAACGTTGAATCATTTAATTAATTAGATTAAATGTAGAACGATCATCCAGTATTATGTTCATTTTTTGCATACAATCTAATCGACTCATAGCAACAACAATACGTCATTTGTCAGACTAAGTGATAATAATGTCTTTATTTCTGGCAAGAAAATGAACAATAGAAAACATTTTACGATTTTATCTATTTTGTGATTATATTCCATCGTGACGAAAAATTTCATTAGCAAGATTCAAGTCGTAGTGACGATAAGTAGTTCGCAACTTTATTTGAAAATAGTAATAGTTTTTGTTATTACGTAGGAATTGCGATTGATCAAATCTTGCCGATGGAGAGATGTGATTTAATCCGTTAATAATCGTAGTATATTCACTATTGATCAGGTTATAACTTGAAAGATTTGATAATGGATCGAGAATCAACTGGATTAGTATGTGAAGAAATTTATTACTACATAACCGATTGAATTTCAAGTAATCTATTGTATTAATTGCACTCATTTTCCTATTGATAATATATTATGAAATAGAACATAAACGAACATAAACAATCAGAGAAGTACTCTATGACAATTCTTCATGTAGTATTTTAAGATTTTTTACAATTAAGTTAAATAGATCATTCTTAAACTTCAATTCACCTTGTAAAAGGTTTTCCTGACATTTTTGAATCACACGAGAATCACTCAAATTAGGAAACAAATTTTTACTTTTATATGTGAAAAGGAAAGAAATGGTCTTTTGTGATGGGCACATATAGATTCAACCCTTCAAAATCTCTCCGAAATCTTTACTTGTACTTGAATCATAATGTTGTCAAAGATAATATCATACAGCTACAGTTAATAATGGCAAAATTTGCATAAAATAAATGGAGATTGAACCGCTTTAAAAAACATAGTATCAAGGGGAAACAAACTGATTTCTTGATTTTCGAGATCTGCGTGACCATTCCGTCGTGACCAAAAAAAACGAAAATTCTTCGATAATAGTTTCCACGGTGGATGTGAGAAAATAATTCTGTTTGATGTTTTCTACTCAGAATTTTATGCTCTTCAAAATGACACAAAAGAGTCAAGGATATGATGATCTATGATGGAGAAAACTGCTGCACATTTTTCGTGACCAGAAATCGTCGTGATCGGTCGTGACCAAAACTGGTCACGACGAATGCGCCGCAGTTTTCTCCACCATAGATCATTATATCCTCGACTTTTTTGTGTCATTTTGAAGAGCTTAAAAATCTGAGTAGAAAACATCAAACAGAACTATTTTTCCCCATCGACCGTGGAAACTATTATCGAAGAATTTTCGTTTTTTTTTTGGTCACTACGGAATGGTCATGCAGATCTCTACTCTCGAACTATTCGTTAAATAGTACGATTTAAATGCCTTATCATTCTTCTATAAGAATAACCAATTAGATTAAAATTTATTTTTTAACATTTTTATTGTTTTAATAAATTTGTTATCTTTTTTTTATTAATTATTTTCAACTAGACAATTCTATTAAAATATTCATATATAAAATTTCGTCAATATATTTCAATGACGATTTATATATATAGATAATATAATATAAGTAGACTAGCAAGAATCTCTTTCTATTACAGGCCAGTGTTTTTTTTTTCTTTAACATACGGCCTAAAAACTTGGTAACAGACACAAAGACACTCGATATTATCTAGATGGAAGTTCTATGGATTGATATCCTTATATCAGTAATACTCAATGCAGTCTTGCGTCGTTATAGCCTTATATTCCGCGCAACTCTTCTACTCTTACGTGCTTATAGCCTTACCACTTCTAGCCTAAACCCGTTAGAGCGTTCTTCCCGTATTACTTTCCTGTCTTATAACCTTGCACCGTTATTGCTTCTCACCGTTTAAACTTTGCCTCCTTATAGGCTTACTCTCTAATAGCGTTCACTCTTTATAGCCTTATGCCCTTATAATTTTACCCCCTTATTGTCTTATAGCATTACCAGCTAATAGTGTTCTTTATTATAGTCTTCTCTAGCTTATAGTCTTATTCCCTTGTTGCCTTAATCCGATATAAGCTTACCTCGTTATATCCTTATCTCTTTATAGGCTTAGCCCCTTATAGCCTTATTCGACCTTTAGCCTTTAATCTGTCCCAGACAGACAGACAGACAGACAGACATAGAGTGAACATTATATATATAAATGATGATAATATAAAATAAAAGATAGAATAGTTTCGATTGTAGATAATTCAAGATGATAAATGATTAAAGATCATAAAGTGTCTAATATGAGTAAATAGATCGATATATTGTCTTTGGTGTTTCGTTTGATATTGTAAAAATGAAATGTTATTTGTGAAAAAGAAAAGATATTGTTATTCTATGAATTTGATCTATATAAAATGATTAAATAAAAACTTGTCAATAATTAATTTACTAAAAATTGTTATGTTAAGATGGTGCTATTGAATATATTCTTCAATCAGATTCAACATGGAAACATCGAAAAGAATTTCAACGTGATGAAGATCATCTTAAAAATTTATTAATTAAATGTGAATCATATTGGATTGGTAAACGTCAATCAGAAGGTGTTGATATTGAAGATGCATATAAATGTCAATGGTGTGATTATAAACATATTTGTACATGGCGTGAAGATAAACAAAATGAATTTTCAAGAAAAAAAAGACGATTTGATTAATTTTATTATTGAATAAGTCATGTAGATAATGTAAAGAT